ACCCCCCCCCCCCCAATCAATTTGATGTCTGATTCTTTTGTTCCGATGTAGTTACAGACCTATATCCAAAAATCGTACCCACCGGTCCCATACAACCCGCGGGAGGTTTTAACGAGCGTTGGGGCAATTTGACCCTGCTTGGGCACCTATAGTTTAAAGGGCCGTTAAGGCACTCTGGCAGACTTTACGGCCCTCCCTCGCCTCTCCGTAATACACCCATAATACAACCCCCCCTCCCGCCCATTTTGAATTATGTTACACTGGTCAGACCACCCACCCTCAATTTCTCAGAGAGTAGCAGAGCTAGCGTGAAAAAAACCGAAAAATACTTTTCGTCGGTAAATACATTTTTTTTTATTGTTTTTTTTTGTTTTTGTTTCTTTTTGAAGTAGGAGACTTACATAAGTCTGGGCTTGAACTCCCTCCTCCCACTCATGAAACCCTGTAAGGCAAGCTCAGACACCCTTTTCCCTCATGCGCAACTTACGTAATATTTGAAGGGGCCCTACGTTTTTTAACCTATTAGAGGCTAATCTTACCGCTTTGATTGTTATTAATGATTAATCATCAATTGAATGTCTTGATAAAGAGAATATTTAGTTTTGTATGTTCCAGCAGTCGGAGCCAACCCGAACTGAGACCGTGTTGCATACAAGTACAACAACGTTGTCCGACTGCTTTTGGCCAATGTAACGAATAGGATGGGCAACTTCCTCATCAAACATATCTCGATCGACTCTCTCTTCTCCGCCTGTGTCCAGCATCTGCCTCCATCCAGTTCGATTCGATATCAAGGTGATAGAATGCAGAGGAATGGTATATTTTCTAAAATTTTTGGTGCAGAGGTATAGCATTCCCGCGGGATCAAAAATCTGCTGATTATATTGAAAGAAATAAACAACAAATCAAGACAGTGATTAATAGAAATCCACTGAAAAAAAGAACGGATTTGACCGGCGGTGATCCCCGAAAATTTCTCCAGCATCGCGCGAATTTCTCTCGAATGAAAGCTTCCCAAATAATACATGATGTTAGCCAAGCTTTGATAGCTAATTGCACAATCCCAGTGGTCAGCTCTACTTATTACGCTCAAGTTTTGCAGGAGCGCTAATTCATAATATCCCGCCTCTACTAAGATCAACATTTCCGTTGCGTTTCGCATTTCCGGTTCACCGACATGATCCAAAATTTACTGGTTCTTTTCCACCGTGTTCCTTCACTTCTTCCGCTCCGTGTTTTGCTCTTGCTCTTGTTCAAGTCGAATTTTCAAGTTCTCCTACTTTAGTTCTCACCGAACAATTTTTTTCAAGTCTAACTAGTGATTGTGACCACATTGTGACAGATTCAGAATGTCTGCTCCAGCAAGTTCCGATAGCAGCTCTATCGTCGCCAAATTCGGGAAAATTGCCTTCAAACCTGTCAACAGAGACACAGTTTTGTTCCACTACGCCCCCATTCTAGGAGCAGCTAATTATGGCTTACTGTCCGTTAACGTTATGAATCCCAGCATTTTGGGAGGGTAAGTTTCTATTTTACAGTACCTAACTCCTAAATTTGTGTAAGTCACTCTGCACCTAAGAAACCTCCACTGGAGAATGCCCCTTTAACTTGCTTGTTACCCCCTAGCAAGTCTCATCAGTGCCTGCCTTCATCATGACTGTGGGTGATGAAATGGGGGACTTCAACCTTAGCCATGCTTTATGCTTACTTTTTCGAAAATTTTCAGCCCTTTGCACTTTTGCAAGCTATTGTGACATTCTCAAGGTTTTATCATAGAAACCTCTACTGTCCCATCTACACTTTACGATGATCATTGAGGTTAATCCAGGGTTCGGAAGAGTTACGGAATCGAAGAAATGAAATTACTTTTACTTATGAGTTTCAGCGCTGTGGTCTGGCTATGTGACTGCCTATCAGCTGCTTTAAATTAGCTATGGGCATGTATACACTCACGTAAATCCGCTCTTAAGTATTGGAAACGGCTAGTGCTGTTGGAACTATGTGAGCTCGAAATCAAAGTACCGTTGTCCTGAACGTCTGTTGGTTCAGTTAATTGGCTGTCTATCTGACATATATGGCATAAGGACATTTTCACTATCTCTAAAAAATCCAACAGCCATTGGTAACGCACTATTTTGTCACAAAACCGTTTTAATAGCTCACAGAAAACTGATAGGACACCCCTATAAGTCAGACAAAGTTGACCGTAGTCGACTTATTTTTATAAGACTCGAGTGAATTTTTGTCAGAATTTCCTCATCTGATGACGAAAAGCGAAAACTTGTAATTTAACTGTTCCACACAGGAGTTGAAAAGCCAAACCCCCATTGAGCGCTATGTAGGATTATTACCTTGAAACTGATTCTTATTCTGATTATTACCCCAACTGAATGCAGGGTCTGGTTCTTTTCTGTGATTCAATTGTTTTTAATTCTCTGTAAAATCTTTTGCCCTCTTGAAATCATGCTATTAAATGTGTAAACCACTTGGCTCTGGCAAAATGTGTTCTACCCACAGCTTGTTTTTTGAACATTGCTGCATTGGTATAAAAGAGCACATAGGTAGGTATATAATCTTTTTATCAGAGAAATTAAGTTGAATATACCGCTCATTTATCAGCTTTGTATTCATTTCATCCCCAGAATGCCGAAATAAGTTTGTTTCATGAACTGCCAGGGTGTCTCCAAGTCCAGAAATAGTACTTACTGATTTTTTAAGGGTGGTCCAGAAATACTGAAAAAGTGCTGAGATTCTGCAAGAAGGTCTGGAATACTTTTATTTTTTTGTCATTTTTATTGCAATTGGAATGAGAAACTCAAACCTCTGAAAGTTTTCGAATTTCGTCAATCGGAAGTACTGAAAAAGCACTGATTTTTTTCTGTTAAGGAGGTACTGAATTCCTTGGGATTATATGAAAAAGCACTTTAGACGTACTGATTTTTGGCCAGCCTCGTTTAGTAGACGCCCTGACTCTATCAAAATTTAATTTTTCTACAACATTTTATGTGTTATTTCCTTGATTTCCAGTTTGTTCCCCAACCGTGATGTTACAAATATTTTACTCCTTCATTCATTTGCTGGTATTGGACTTCACATCTACAACCGACCTCACTTACAGAATGTTCAAAAGACTCACAGAATCCTCTACAGGTAATGGTTTTACTGGTTTAAGAAAAGGCACGCGTTTGTTCTATGATTTATGCGAGCTGTAATGTTTTACTCCAGCTGGTGTGTGTCTATATGAATTCAATACCAAGTTCTTTGAATATACCAAATATGGCTCAGTTAGTTCAGTGCATACTTTAACTTGAACCGTGATTCAACTTTAACAAAACCACCCTCTCAATAGCTATGAAGATTTCTACGTTTTCCCTTTTTCTGTTGTTAGGATACATAGTCATCATAGTTAATCAAACTCAGCTGTCTATTTTATCTCATGAATATCGAAAGGATTTTTCTATGCATAATTACATTTGTGGGACAGAATTCTGTATATTAGACCTCAGGTTGTCTCGTGAGGAAATTATTTTTTCAAAATTAGTAGCAGTCAATTATTTTCTTGATTATGAAACTAAAAAAATCCCGTCTTGATAGCAGTGTTCCAAAATTTTCTTTCTAAATTTTTCTGAGAAAGTTTCACTTGACTTTTTTTAAAGAAATCTTCAAAGATCATGCTCAATAGATAAGAGCAAAATCATTGAAAAATGTGCAGTAACTACGATGAGTCATCCTTCAAAATGATAAGCAAGACTAAAAATTGGCAGCATCCTACATAAGTAACTAGATGGTAAAATAGTGCTGGGTCCACACCATTGTACAGGGAAAACAAAGCCCAAAAGCTTAAAAATGAAGATATAAATATAAAGTTGCTCCTAAAACGCATTCTGACATTTTGCGACACTCAAACGCCACATATTCCCGTCTTCCCAGAGGTTATCGGGCGATAACAATTTTTGACGAGAGCATAAAATTTTGAGCTCTACTGAGTACTACTACAAAACTTAACTCTTTTTCTATTTAACTTTGATGCTCATCTCTGGTGTAAACTTATTACCATGAATGAAAAAAATGGAACCTGAATTAGGTTTATTCTTTTTTTGTATGGACAGTATTCATAATGATTTGTTCATTTATTCTTCATCTTTCCTTTGTTTCAGTGCATACGGTTCTTTAGTCTTCAGTTTTGGCTCAGTCTTAATTTGGGCAGTACTCAGCCGCCTCTTCCCAGGCAGCAAATGCGTCGCAACTATGGTTGGTGTGGGAGCTGGATTGACTCTCACTATTGTCGGCAAGGAGTATTTAGACCATATCGATTCTCAAACTCCAAAGAAGTAGTTTCTGCAAGTAGTTCCTTTCTTATTTCGTCATGGTTTTTTTTCTCTTTTTTTTCCTTCGTATGGAACTCATGCAAATTTAATTTAGGCGTTAAACTCTACATTTTTAGTACCAGTTTTTTTATGACCAATACTACTTTTTGCATGAAATTTTGTTCACTTATCAAGTCTTAAAATATTTTTATACATCAAAATGAAAAAAGCAGCCCCAAAAAACCTCTTAACCGCGTTTTTGAAACAATTATCCCCCCCTCCCTCCCTCAAGACTTTTAGGAAAGATCAACTGAGTAATTTTCCGTGAAGAGATCATAAAAGAGTTGAGAGGCATTCTCTTCAGCTTTCAAAAAAATTAAGCTTCTTCATATCATGGTGTCAAAATGATCGATCTAGGTTTTGACAATATTTTTGGGATTCTCCCCAGTATTCACATTATATGCCCAGTCTTTTAATGTTTTCTTTACAATCAAGACAATTACAGATTTTCCCTCTTTACTTCTCCAGGTACTTCTTCTCTAGGCTATTTTTATGGGGATTTATTTTTATACTGAATACAGTAAACTGTCCTATACAATCATTTCAATAAATTATGAACCTGGTTACGTGGTGAAGAAGGAACGCTTATAATAAGCTTATACGCTTATTATACATTGCCTTAAAATTATTTGCTTCAATTTTGTTCAGCTTCAGAAATGGATGATTAGAGTGAGCTTTAATAGAACAAAAAAAAAACCTTGCTAATGATAAATGATTCAAGTCAACAATGAGTGACTAAACAAGGTCTAAACTAGAATAAAAAGTCACATGATATCTCGTCAAATTCTTTCGTAGGAAACAATTAACACAAAGGAAGGTCTGGAAATCAACTCCTGAACCATCAATTAACAAGTATTTTTAACATGGACCAGTGGAAATTAAATTATACAAATGACTTCATTTGTATTTTTACCTTTTAAACATTGTTAATTGTAAACACTTTTATTCTGTTAAGGAGTTGACTTTCTAACTTTCCACTGCATAATTTATTTTCCTCGTCAATTTTGAAGAGAAAATACTATCCGATTCACATTTTGTCTAGTGGCCATGCCAATATTATGTGACTGATATGTTTTGTGACTAATTAGGATTATAACATGTACATGCTTTTCCATTTTCTTGGTAGAAAGTCTAAGAAACTGGTGAAGTAAACTTCAAATATTCATTTATATTTAGGAGCAAATCTGGTTTGTGATATTTTCCCCTTTCTCTAGTCATTTAATGTGGCCTGTTTTCATGGGTTATTTCTCTGTATCTCTTCTAAGGTTTGAACTAAAAGAAGAAAACATTGAATCATAGTAAAGTTTTACATTACAATCCTACATAAAAATGTTTTATTTTCAAGATATCAATAATGATACTTGAAGTAATTAATGATCTTTCCTCTCAGTACCGTGTAAAAGTAAGGTTTACAAACGTGAAATCGTTCAAATTTGTATTCATACCAGGTTGTAAACACCAATTATTGTCATAGAAGGAGCAAGCTCTCCCTACTTTAAAGTTGAAATCCAGTCGACCTATTTTAAGTTTTGAGCCCAAGATTCATTGTGAAATACTGTTTTTCCCGGTTTGTAATAGAATCTACAGTATCAGTTTAATGCGGACAATGACAAATCTCCTGAAACATTTTGCGTTTGTAGTTTGTGATTGCAGAACATACCGACAGTGAAATTGCAAACATGAGTACCCCAAGTGCGGTGTTTCAGAATCTGCTTCTATTTAATTTTCTAAAAGAAGACCAAACCAACGTCTTGGCATTTTAAAAGAATGTTCTTCCCACAAAAAATACAAATTACCCAAGCATTCAAGAAATGTTGTAAAGTGGTTTTTTATTCAGAAAGTAAGCTATGACACGTAGTGAAGAAGTCTGCAACGCTGTAAAACGAGATGCGCATTCCTGCAGTTTCACCGTCGATATCTTTTCCATTATACCTCATGTTTTAAATCCAATATGGATTCGAATCAAGTAGTTTAAAATTTCTTTGATTTCTTTTACCAGTGTTTTGAAGATTGGTATTAAAGGAACAGTCAAGGAAAAATAACCCAAAACAACAGAGAGACCAAGAAAGTATTGAAAGATTTTGTAGGGAAGACTCATAATAAAATACTACAGGTATGGATCTAGTAGCGGCAGTAAAGTATCACAGGAAAAAATTCTTCAAGTCACAATGCAGCAGTCAAGCCCTTTTTCCTAACTCATTGACAGACACAAAGTGACGAAAGATGAGTTTGACGGTCTTTTACCACCACAGCGACAGAGCTGCTGTACACAAGCTTTCTATACAGACCTTTGATGCATGAGTCAGATGAGCCAATCAAAGACGAGTCAGTTCCATGTTTTTACCCGTTCTTTCCTCTACCATGAAAAAAACTATATTTTTTCCAATGAGTGGCTTTGCTAAAACCTGAGCTATACTAAAGCTAATGCTATTGATATTTTGAACATAAGATGAATAGGCTTGTTTCTACGATTCTTTGGAAGTGGACCCAGAATCACAAATCTCCTCTCTCCCTCTATTCTTACCATGAAATTTTGCAGTCTCAGTTTAAGTTGACAGAACGATGTATAAAAGCCATTCATCCGGGCTTTAGATTAAAATTGGTCGCTCAGAATAACTGAGCAGTTATCAGGGGAAAATTTAACAGAGATCTCCAGATACACTTTACTTTTCTGTTAAATAGTGTTATTAGATGTGTATGTACTTAATGAATAAGCTGCAATGCTCTGTTTTGCTGTATTTCTCCGTACTCATGATTTGGGGCTTGTTCATTATCAGCGGAGTGAGGTGTGCATTGTTCTAAGTGATTTTTTTTTTCCTTTTACCGTTAAGTAGTTTTAGTTTTAGTTTTCTTGTAAATAAACCCATCTTTTTTATTAAAGCACCCAACTGATCACATCTGTTTTGCTTATTTAATATGCCCTAAAAATGTTCATCCTTATCTAATTAATTTCTTTTTCCGTAAAGCTACAAATAGTTAAAGTAGTATCTACACCTGTAAGGAATGGAGTTTCGTTGCTAGCTCTTTGGCTTTTTAAAGGCAATCAAAGAAAAAGTTTGACCATGAAGTCTATCATAGTGCTTTCTCTTTCCTTTTCATAACCAAAAGAAGTACAGGGTGCAGTGCCAATAGGTTAATGCATTCTCTGTTGCCTCTATGGATGTTTATGGAGCAATATATAAGTGTTTTTCGAAAAAATAACTACAGGCGCTCCCCGGTATATTGTTGCATATTTGGTAAAATTGAAGACTAATCTTAAGTTGGCAATATTTACCAATTGGTTTACATAGGTACGCATTATGCCTATTTTGGATTTATGGAAGTTGATGCCAAAGCAAGATTCTCATTAATATTGATCTCCAGGTGGAAGAACGTAATTTCGTCAAGGTTGTGCGTTCATTTTCTGAAAATATTCAATTTTACTCGTAAGATCACGACTGCACAATGTTTACGCAATGTTTAATTTTGCCGATTTTTGCATGTAATCTGAAAAAAAAATCGTACAAGTCAATTAGGAATGCCCAACCGTTTCCTCCAAAGAGTGCATTTTATGAAAGGAAACAACCTTAAAGTGTATAGCTACACTTTTTAGTTTGGGAGATGACCATATCGACGGCCAATGTGCGGAACTACGTATCTCCACTGCGATGTCTCAAAATTTCCGCTCCTTATTTGACTCCTTAAAAAATACGCAAAATTTTCAGCTTTAAATTTATATAGAACATTCTGCCAACGGAGAAGAAAACTCGAGGAAGTTTTTCAAGAAATTAAAGTCGATAGATTTCCAAAGAAAAAACTTAGTATGATAGGAAGTCTGCGATGGTGCCAACGGCGATATGTGGTTTCGCACTTTTAGAGATAGTTTCTTGAGCAGAAAACGATTTGCGCTCTGCGGTATGATTGTTGCCTATGCGGTAAGATGGAAGGCGAACTTCACGTTGACGATGAAAACGATTTGCGCTTCCCAGTATGCTTGTTGCCTACACGGCAAGATTGAAGGCGAAACTTACGTTGACAATATCTAATCTACTAATAGGTTTACACATTGTCTTCGTCAAAGTTTATGGGATGAGATTCAATTCTTATGTGATGTGCGTTCATTATCTCAGGTACAACAGGGCCGGATTTACCTACTTCCCGCCCATGGGCCGCCTGTATTTTGCCGCCCCCTTCTCATTCGTTTTGAAACATCAATAAAAACCATCAAGTGAACGTGCCGGAGGGGGAGGGGTGCATAAGAAACGTTTACCTACTCGTGTTGGATACATTTTTTGCGATAGCGCTGTTAACACTACTAGCAAAATTTCACGGAACTTTGCGCGAAAGCTAAGTTCCGTAAACCTATCTCTATGTGGACAAGGTCCTCCATTTATAAGAGATGAACCAAAAAATTATGAAAGAACAAACATAAATGTGGTTTGATAATTTTGACTTCCACCGCTGCGCCGCGCTGATGCACTGTGATTGGCGCAATGCGTGAAGTATTCCTGCAGTCTTGTAGGCGCTATACGTTCCACGCCAACCGCTCGTGACCGCACTGTGTTTGGCGCAATGGGTGAAGTATTCATGCAGTCTTGTAGGCGCTAATATGTGTTACATGCCGATATCGCCGCGCCGAGGGCTTGTCTTTTTCACATCAAGTCCTCGTCATCATTCCTCTCCGCGTTGAGCTCCAGACCAAATTGCGTGTTTAGTTCCTCACTTTACTCTACTAATTAAATTTGCCACTTCTTGTATCACCGAAAAACGATAAAATTAGAAATTACTATACTCTCAGGAAAAAGAGAGATTTCGTCCCCTTTTCTCATGGATAAGTTTTTTTCTGAATCCGATTTTTTTATACCTACATTTAAAAAAATTGCAAAATTTGCCGTCATGGGCCGCGGCCCAAGTGGCCACCCCCTTAATCCGGCCCTGGGGACAAACCGTGAACTCTGAAGCAACGTAAGCCGCAGTTTCGGCGTCATTACAAACCTGAAACTCTTTCTTCCTATTTCTTTTGCTCTCCTTATTATTTTTTCTCCTCTCTTTCCTCTTCATTTTCCCCTCCTCTTTTTTTATTTGATAGCTCCTGTCGGGTGCACTGCCGCGTTAAAAAAGATCGCCGTATGCCGTGTCCAAATTTCCATTGACAAAGCTCGAATTTTCAGATAAATTTTTGAATATTTCTCGGCGTCTTTCCGTAGCACGGTAGTGTAGCTTTGCTCCTGATTTGCCACCCATAATCCGGCCCTGATGATATCATTGACCTAGCTGATTATGCAAAGTCTGCACCCAGCGCCTCTTACGAACCCCTCCCACCATAAGTTCTTGAAGGAGCGCACGACGATAATACCTGACTCACCTTATCAAATCTCCAGCCTCCTATCAGCTAGCGCCAGCGCCCACACCTATATTGCGATTGCGACCAAACCGCGTGCGTCAAGTAGGTAAGGTAAAGGCTTTTTACGCTCAACCTTGAAAATCAGCGGAGGACTTCGCTTGTGTCGCGGTCGTACGCATCGCGCGCCGCGCGCCGCCGCTTCAGAAATAATTAAATTGATGCTTTTTTTTTTTGCTGTGAGCTCCCAGTGCCCCACTATGCTTCAGTTTCAGTTGATATCGTACCGCGAGCGCGATCACAACTCCGGGTGCATAACGAACGCATGCAGGTTGGGAGTGCAATAAGAGGGTAGGTACTTACCCGCCGCACTTACCCGTGCGTTTTGAACGTTTTGACCGCTTTCTGAACAGCTGTTCAGTTTTGAGAGTGCGCCTCTCGCGGGCGTATGTGAGTGTGTCCTGTGTCAGTGTGTGTGCGATTTTACGGCTCCACGGATGTGCCAACTCTCTCGTCTCGTCCGCCTAGTGATAGTAAGTGCTGTTGATTACGGTGATTAATTCGCGATGTGCAGTGACTTGTTAAGTTTCGAATTGTTTCTTTTTCTTCGTTTGTCGTCCTCTAATTCATGGGTGGTTATCTTTTGCTCGTAACTAGATTGATGCCCCAAAATGAGCTCCTCAACTGTCGAAGAACTGGAGCTTATGAATGACTCCAAATACAAAGTGTAAGTTTGCAACCTCCTTTGTTTCAGCCAGTCCATCCTCAATTACCTATTATCTCCGTAGTCGTTGAAATGGCTGGTTGTTGCTTTGCAAGTACAGCTTTGTCAAGTTCTGAAGCAAAGTGCAACTTCAGCTTGAAAAAGCTGGAAAAAGCTCGTATGTTTTCAATTCTCTTTGAGGTTAAGGCTCTATTTACCTTCTCTCAGCCTATCAATCCCTTTTGGGTATTTTTGTTTCTCTACATTCTAGTCATTCAGAATATCCATGAACTTTTCCTACTGGACGTATTCTACTTTCAATAAGTATACAAACTTAAAGGGAGTCACCACTTCAACACTTTCAAAGAGCAGCAGATGTCTCACCTTAGTTTGCGTTGAACTTGCCGCCAACTCTTAGGCTACGTCAAATCTTGATACTGCATCTAAACTCCTGTTCAACAAATTATGAACGAGCTATGCTTGTCTTCTTTAGAGTACTAACAAATTTGATGGAAGCTGCTGCCATTTTCTCTGATGGCAGTGGCTACATTCAATTCAAGTAATTAATTATAAGTAAGGCAACTTCAAGGAGCCGATCCCTTACAGGTGCATTCACTTATCTTCAAATACTTCTCACACTTCAATATTTTACTACGGTTTTCCGGACACCTGGTGTCAAAGCCACACACAGTGACATTTTTTTGGCCAATTTGGCGAGACATTATGTAAAGAAGTCCCTAGATATAGAAGGGGCACTTGTCGATCGTGGTATTTGCGAATCTCCTTAGAAAAAATACAATTGCAGGTTACATGGGTAGGAGAACAAAACTCGTGCACCAAGACATTTTGGCTGAAAACACCAGAGCCCTCTTCAGTTGAATGGAATGTGTAAAAATTTAAAACCTATTACGTGGTTGTACCTTGCCAAACGAGATCCAGCCAAATCACCCAGAAGCATGCGTTCTTTATCTAGCCTTCTTACCCACAGTTGTTTTTTTGCCCTTACTCCTCACTGTCCTTACTGCCCATTGGTAGCAGATGGATTAAATACAATCGACTGCTCATGGGTGGATCCAATTCCACGTTATCTATATTGGATATTGTTTGAGTAAGAGGAGGGCGTAGGCTGATGAAGTGGATTTCAGAAAGATGTGACTGCGTGAACCTAGGTGGATTGGTCTTCATGAGAAAAAAAATTAACTTAATCAATTTCAATCACGCTTTTCTCCGCCGCTTAAGTTAAAGAGTTTGTAGTCAAAATTGTAAAATCCAAATTTTTTCCCTAACTGGACACTAATTTTTGTACCTACTGAAAATACACTGGCTTCTCTTTAAACCCTAATGACTTGAAAGACTGATTTTCTTGGTTTTGTTTTGTAGGTACATAACAGCAGTGGATAAGGCTCTGAAGAATTTTGAGTACTCTACTGAATGGGCTGATTTTGTCTCAGCGCTTGCTAAACTAAACAAGGTAAGGATGTACTCTTCTCTCTTGGTAAAACAATTTCATTTTAGTTGTCTTGGACAAAAAATTATGAATACACGTTAACAGCCCAAATTTTTAAAGGCTGGCATGGAAGCACCCATAACTTAATACCTTCAAAGGCACGTAAAGTGGAGAATTCCGCGATAAATGAAGAGAAAGAGCCTTAGAGTTTTGAAATTTTATCGGGTGTGTAGGTAACTCTTGCTTTTTGGAAATTTTATGGGGTGTGTAAGTAACTCTTGCTTATGTAGTTTCCATAATTATTTGTCTTTTCCCCTCTATACTGAATTAATATACATGTAATACTTACTTACTTAAGGGTCATTTCGTACAAATAAAGAGGGCTATAGTTTGCAACCAATCAGTGGTTCAATTTGTAGCATTACTTACAAGTTTTCGGACCGAGCGCAAATCTAGCCAGGGTTGCCACAGTCAGAAACTGTCAGGGAATCTTGAAAAGTCAGTGGACACTGGGAAATGTCAGAGAAAATGACAAAATGTGAGAAGAAATATTTTTAATCACGTTTATTTGCTTTCTAGAATGTGTTCTTTGGCATCTTTAACAACTAATGTTGTGTGCTCAGTTTAGGATGTGGCGATTTTCATTCATCCTGCACATCGTCAAATGTGAGGAAATTTTATCAAATTTCATGAAAAAAAATCAGAGGAATGCTAAGGAATTTCATTTTCCACATTCTGTGGCAACACTGGCTTTCCTCCGTTTGAAAATGTGTATTTTTTTATGTTTCTACAAAACCGCTGGAATAGTAGCGTATTAGCCGCGACACCGAGACGAAAAACGCGTATAATTTCTTTAAGTTTACGCAGCCGCTAGAAAAATCGTGTAATTATTGAATGGTCACGAAAATTTGCACCAAAATGTTTTTTAAATCAATTCTGGTTAAAACGGACACCGCAAGTCTGCCGTGCTAAAGAAGAACGCCGTATGAACATTCGAGAGTTGCCACATTTCCTTCGATGAAATGTTCATTTTTTAAGAAAGTTATGAATATTTTTCAGTTAAATTTTCAGAATCCTTAGGTAAAATAGCGAACTACATTATCTGAAAAATTGGGAGAAAAATATTCATAAACATACCAGGAAATTCGAGTTTTATCGAAGGAAATTAGGCAACGCCTGAAGGTCCATACGGTGTTTTTCCTTAGCACGACAGAAGTGCGCAACTATTCGCGCTGTGGACGCGAAATTGAAGGAAAATCTTAGCTTTTTGCCTGTCTCAAATTACTGACGTGTATGAATTCCCTGACATTCACGGAAAAATGCGTAATCACTTATGTTTTTACCAAATCGCTGTATAAATTACGTATTTGTCGCGATATTGAGGTAATCTTTTATTTTATTACGAAATCGTACGGAAAATCGCGCATTTGCTGCTTTACTGCGGTGGAATTCGCGTAATTTCCCTAATTTTAAAGGACCGAAATGAAGCGCGCAACTATTCGAACTCCGCAGTAGGTTTGCAGTATCACGCGAAATTGAAGGGAAATCTTAGCTCTTCGCCTGTCACAAATTACTGACGTTTATAAAATGAATCATGTAAGTAAGGAATTTGCCCGCAATGTGGAACTCAAGTGCACAACTATTCGAACTCCGGAGTAGGTATGCGGTATCACGCGACAATGAAGGAAAATCTTAGCTCTTTGCCTGTCACAATTTACTGACGTTTAAGAATGCCTCGATGTTCATGTGAAAAATGATTTCAAGCTGCGTTGAATAATAATTGATTCAAGTCCGAGGAGCACCTAGCCCCTCCGAAAATCGATTTATTTTCATAGGTTTTTTAAACGGAGCGAAAACAACGTTGCTTGATTCACGAATGTTTAGGACGCATTTGAGCAGTTTTGCTTTCCCCGAGGGCCGGATCCACCTACTTGCCGCCCATGGGCCGCCTGTAATTTTCCGCCCCCTTCTAATTCGTTAAGTGAACGTGCCGGTAGAGGAGGGGTGTAAGAGACGTGTTCACTCGTGTTGGGCACATTTTTTGTGAAAGCCCTGTACAACGGAACAACACTAACGGAAGTTCACGGAACTTTACGCGAAAGTTAAGTTCCGTAAACCCACCTTTGTTTGGACAAGGCCTTCCATTCATTGCAAACGAACGAAAAAATTATGAAAGAACAAACATAAATGTGGTTTAATAATTTTAACTCCTGCCGCTGCGCCACGCCGACCGCCCTGTGTTTGGCGCAATGCGTGAAGTATTCATGAAGTCTTGTAGGCGCTATGCGTTTCACGCCGAGCGACTGCTGTTGACCGCAGTGTGTTTGACGCAATGCGTGAAGTATCCGTACAGTCTTGTAGGCGCTATGCGTTTCATGCCGACCGCCGCGCCGAAGGCTTCTCCTTTTCATCTCAGTCCTCGTCATCATTGCTCTCTGCGCCGCTCCGCTCAAGGTCGAATTGCGTGTTTGGTTTCTCTCTTAACTCAACAAATTAAAGGTGTTGTCTTTGGTATCACCGAAAGACGACAACATTTCTTTGATGTTTAATATACTTTTACTCTCAGGAAATGAGAGATACCTATTGTCGCATTTTCTCGCTTGTAATTTATTTTCTGAATCCGATTTTTTCTTTTCTTTTTTTTTTTTTGATACCTACTTTCAAAAAGATTGCAAAATTTGTCTCCCGCTACATTTTGCCGCCATGGGCCGCGGCCCATGTCGCCACCCCCTTAATCCGGCCATGCCCCTCTCAGAAAACTTCTACGGAGTCTAGTGTATCTCCAAAAATGTTCACCATGCTACATAATTACGGCAATTGAAACTCTAAACGTTGAACTTTCAGTACAACCCCCGCATAGTGCTATGGTTGCCGGTTACTAATTCCACAGACCCAACCATACCTACCTGCATTTGACCAGTTATTAAACTCTTTTTAGGGATGAATCAGTCTGACTAATGTTGCGCAACCACAAGTTTCTAGTCAAAGCAAAGTAAATTGTCCTTCTTGTCACATCTAAGTGTTTTTTTGCCCTCTCCTCTCCTCTTGAATGCACCATGTATACTGAAATGCTCATGCGCTGCTGTTCAATGTTGCCTCACAAGATACTTCAAATTACTTGCCGACCGTAATTATAGAAATCGATGGTCCGTATGAATTTTCTACTTGCCTAGGTCGATTGTCTCTAAATGTCATTTCTCACCTCAACAACCGAGGAGTTTGTGAATTATTTCAAACTACTCAGCGCTTTTTCAGGTTTCGATCCCCTCCAAAGTCAGAAAAAAGTCTGTTAGCAAGCAATAATCCGCATTTTCTAGAGTAGACACTCTCAGGTCCTCCACTTGTCTGTTACACATTTATTGATTTCAAAGCACAAGTTTGTAGGCTTGGGTTAATTGCTTAGCCCTTCAGACTGGATTTCCTGAAGATAAGGTTGGTTTTCAAGTATTTTCTTCACGTCGCTCATTTCTTGATAAGTGGAATGCTAATATGAGCTTCAAAGATAAATTTTAAGGATAATCCAGTCTATTTCCAGCTTTTAAAAAACGAAGCACCGTTTTCATCGTTTTAAATCAATTTTTTTTGTTTATATGTTTCCTTAAATAGCTGATTTATGGTCTCATTATAGCTCCTTTACAAGCAAAAGAAAAAAAAGTTACTTAAGCGATTTCCCTCAAGCTCAATACGCGTGTATGGTCTACGCGGTGTCTACAAGTCCGGAATTTCCGGAAAGTCCGGAAATAGTACTGATATTTTAAGGGCGCCCCAAAAGTACTGAAAAAATGCGGAAATTCCGCAAAAAGGTCCGGATATTTCTTAAATTGTTTGTCATTTTTGTCGCAATTTCAAATTTTCAAATTTTTTTAATTTCGTCAAATGGAGGTACTGAAAAGTGCGGAATTTTTCTGTTGGAGGAGGTCCTGAATTCCTCGAGAATGTGCTGAAAAAGTACTGTAAAAGTACTTTTTTTTTGACCAGCCTGTTTCCATAGACACCCTGGGTCTAGATGAGCTGCCAAATGTACAAACATTTCAAAAGTTGCTTTTCCAGAAAAATGCGTCTTAAATATTCCCTGTTCTTCTCTTGACATATTCTGTTTATTTCTAAGGAAAGCACTAGTATTTAGAGCAGTAAATTAGGAGCAAATTAAAATTGGGTCATGACTGAAGCACTATATAAAATGGGGAAATCTCTGGGTCTTAGGCGGCTATCTGTATTTTCATGGGTGATGTGTAGTGGCGTGGCGTGAAAGATCGATTATCGATATTTCTCCATTTGAATCGGTGGTAAAGAATCGATTACTAAGGTGTTCACCGCGAACACCCTGTTAATCGATCCCTTTTCATTGGTTTAAATGACAGGCCAATCGATATATCGCAAAGCTCGCCACGCCACTGGTGATGTGGCTGCCAGGAGGGAGGCGAAGGCCCCCTAGTAGAAGTGCATACGGGTTGTTACCTAAAAGTGAGATTGCGTGAGGCAATGTTGGTCGTCTCTCGTGGACGAAGTCGTAAGGGCCAGGTCGGCGCCCCCAAGCCCCCTCGGTCCCCATGTTGTCGCAGCGAATGAGTTCGGGGAGCCCGACCGATGCGGGCGGGAGCACGAATTCCAAAACCGCGTATGAAACACCAAGTTAACATTATAGTTGTGCGGTTCTTTCTTTGCAGATGAGGATGACACGACGGTTGCCTGCGGAGAACGCTTTCTCTCGAGCCCTGATTACACGCTCATAAGCTTCCCGCCTTCAGCTCCGCGTTCAAATTGATCAGTTAGTGGTCATAAAATCGGGTATTAATTATTTAACAGTGGCGTGGCGTGAATTGCGATATATCGATTGTTATACCGTTTAAATCTATGGAATAGGGTGTTCGCAGCGAACACCTTAATAATCGATTCTTTACCATAGGTTTGACTGGCATAACAATCGATACATCGCAATTCACTCCACGCCACTGTTATTTAATCGTTTTGATCTTAAATTGCGTATTTTAAAATGAGAACCATCCATGATAAAATCCACTCTA